CACTAGTTTCTCACCCTCTCCCACCCATTTTGATGTCAACGAGCTTGCAGAAATGTTGAAAAAAGTAGCTTTACACTGCGAAGCTACACATCTTCCTGGAATCAATCGAAATAACATGTGAATGCATATATCTATTTCGATATATCTACTTTATCAGAACTCACCAATCATCGTTTTTCCCGTACCAGGAGGACCAAAGAGCAATACCCCTTTTGGTGGAGCTCGTATCCCTTTGAACATATCTCTAAAAGGTTTTCAGTCCTGAATTTCTATGTGAACTCTTTTAATACACTAATGATGGATAGATGTATTACGGTCTTCTTGAACGGCAAAACTACGATTTCTCGTAAAGCTTTCTTCGCTCCCTCCAAACCAGCAACGTCTGACCAACCCGTTTCATGCGTGACGGACATTATCTGTAAACGATATTGGAGAGCTGGTGAAACCTCTTTTTTAGAGAAGTCTTTTCAAAAGATTCAGTGCGGTAGAATCTTTGGCCTAATGGACCGCTGACGCAGGGTGGGCATTCACAATTTTAGCTTCTACTTCCTGTACAGCCGTTTTGCGATTATGGGAGTTGAAGACAAACTGTTCACTCACCTACAAGCACGAAGTGGTCACTGCACAAGTGTAACATTTTTGTTACTAGGGGACTGAAGACAGTGACACCCGACTGACGTTCAAGACTCCCGCGCTATCCTCAAGATGCAGGAAGAACTTGCGCTGAAGCCAAAATCCCGCAGCGATGCACATACTCAGCGGTAGAGAGCATACCGAAGTGTGAGAGTGCAGGCAAGTAGCGCTTTCGCTATGGTTTCACGTAGGGTCCAGAAACGGCATCCGAGCATCACTACCTTTTGCCCCGTTTCCGTGCACTCATGAGAGGAGAAAGTGGCACGCTACTGCAGCTGCGCATTCGTATACTCGCACAAAGGCGGGGGCCAGGTCCACCGGTGTGAGCGTACAGCTTGTGATAAATTAGGGACATTCTTCCAATCCTGTTTGACTGCGTCCTGCCCTTCGCCTTTATGGAAATGCAGGTGAATATTGTGATTATTTTGGGCAAAGAACATCATCTAATATTAGTATTTGGGCTTACCTCGGACTCAATGAGCGAAATTATGTTCTCATCAAAATGTTTGAGTGTTGGCTCTGCTCGAAGACCTGTTGCCGCTTAATGAAAGAAGTTGGAATGGTACAACATCCTTGATAATAAGCACAGATTAAACCAGGTCACAGGATACAGGATCCAAGAGCTCTGCGAGATTCGCGGGTCAAGGGATAGGAACAACACAGACAGAAATCCGGAATCCATGCACTCACCTCCAGTTCCACCACTCACATCCATCATTTCTGTACAAGCCTTTTCTGTAGACGCATGAGGCGGGGGCTATGTGAATGCAGGTGATGATGCCTTCTAAAATATATTGCCACTCTAGTAGAGGAAAACAAAGTGTGAAAAGACCACTGGTCACTCGGGAAACTTGTAACCGGGAATGACCTTATTCTTTTCATTCTGGCATCTCCACATAACCAAAAAATTTAGTTGCAATAAAAAAATGACTACCAAACGCCCGCCGCGATAGCTAATCCAGAATATCGATATATACTTAACTTGATTGCCGAAGCGTAGGCCGCTTCGTGCACTGTCCCCAGCCTTCCGGAGCAGTTGGTGCAGCAGGTGCAGCAGAGCAGCTACCGTCAGTGTCCTTAATTTTACCAATTTTTTTTATTATGGCAGTCTGTGAACCTGATTTTCGAAGTTTTCCAGGAATTAGCATAACAGATCTGACGCCTAGAGCAGATAGCAAGTGGACGCAACAGTAACTTACTTTTGAGTCATCTTGTCCTCGACAATAACGCTGATTTTCATTTGCCTTGACAATTGTCGCCCAGCCGCGGCCGGGGCCCGGCGCGGGCCGGCCCGCGGCGGGCCCCGCCGGGCGCGCCGGCACCGGACAGCCATTTGAAAAATCTTCGCATCGGATGGGCTAGAGCTCGGCTTTTGCCCAAACTGGCAAAAGGCTCCAGTCACGCAAGCATATCAGAAACCAATGAAAAGCAATAATACCATTTAGATTTTTTTGGTTTCCCTCCGTTGACCAACTGCATGCCTTTACAAGAGGTTGACGCTATTGCAATCGTGTAATTCTTTGTCGTTGTCTCTTTTCCTCTCCTGAACGGCATAAGTTCAGCTGATGAAGCCGAAAGCAGGTGAAAGAATTCTTATCACATCCGGAACAGGTCTCGAAAATAGTCGTAAATCTTAAGGTTACGGCAGCGAATAGCGTCCTCGGAAAGGCGTTGGAGCAGAGTCACGGTCAGGGATTGGAAGCGGAGTACAAGGAGCTTAGCATACCTGCCTCCCTGCGTATGAAGGTATTGAAGAATACTTAAAAGTCTAGAGCCATGCGATAACAACCTTGGGAAGGACATCTAAAGTACACGTTGTATGGAACTGCGACCGCACTTATCCCATATACACTTCATCCACCCACTTCTGAGCTCCTTCCCTTCAAAGGCAAGCCCCCGTTCAGAAATGGTGAGTTGTGCGGCTCCAATAGTAGGGACAGGGTGGTGATTAACAAGCTAGTGAAGAAAAACAGGAAACAGGATAGAGCATCGTGATGTGTGAACCGGTGGTGCCACTACGACCCCCCGTTCTCGAGGGAGGGTAGCACGACCCCCCCTCACCTTCCCCAGCACCTACCTACCAGTGTCTATTTTCCACTTTTTCACCGAGAGATTTTTCCGTCGAAGGGAAGGGGGATATAGTACACATGAAACAGGAAAAAATCACGAAAAATCAACAGCGGGGAAAAATTTTTCCTCCGCGGCAAATTTCTGTCATGGCCACACACGGCCGTCTCTCTCCCAACAACGACCAAGTACGACCCCTCCCCCCAGCCGAAGCGTATGACCCCCTATGTGTTTCACACAACGATGCAGTACCCTGGCAGGAAAACCCCGCTGGAAAAGCCCACATGGGCCTCCATGCTGGACGGCGCTCGCATGTGCACATAGTTTTGAAACTGAACGCCACTGTTCGCAATTTTTCATTGCGTGGATTGCCTTTACAGTAATGTCATAAAATATCACCACAACTCACAGAATCGACGATAGACACGATGACTTCACGAACTCTCCGAAGTTTTGGATCGTTACTGAAATCGAATGCTAGACCATTACTTGCGTTTAGTGACCCTGCAGTCATAGACGATGAGCGGCTCACCAAAGGGAATTTAGGAGCGTCATCATTACGAGCGTTCTAAAAAGAACATCGTTAATCGCACAGAATGTGTCTCTTCAAAAGCAGAATAACAAGAACTGAGAAAAGAAACAGCACTAACTGCTTCGACTTGTGTTCCTGCCTTGAATCCGTCACCACCGAAACCGTATTTAGACAAAGAACTCTCCCCTTTTTCCATACGCTTGCGTGACAGTTTGTGCTTTCCAATGAAATACGGACTGCAGGCGTTCGCAGCGAATTTAGCAGGAGGATAAGTTGCGTCAAATCTGCCCTTCTTCTCTGGTCTCAACGGCGGGACCATCACAAACTGAAATTTCGTGCGAATAGAGCGGTCTACTTCAAAGTTACTTTCTTATTTGACAAGGAGCCTTTCATGGATCGCTTTTTTGAAGCAGTTTGTTGCAGAAGTACATACGCTGGTAACACGTATCGTTTCCCCTGCGTACCTCTGGGACTGTCATAAAAAGATGGTAAAACATTCAGTGAGTTCATGGCGATCTCGGTGATATCAGTGACATAAAGAATTCTGGCCTCTGGGCAAGAATAGGGACACGAAACGTTCAGACATACTCGAACAAAGGAAGATAAAAAAAATAGACCTTCTTCGGCTGGGGGGTGAGCTTTTTGCTTTTTCGCTAGTTCAGGTTAACTAACCGGTATCACTCTGGTGACCCCTGTGAACTCTTGTGAAGTAATACAAGTGAGCTACTTTTGTCACCAGGAGTTTATAGGCCTTCACAAGGTCACCTGCACAACCTTCAGTGAGTGCCATTTCAGTGCCCCACCAAGCCGAACTGCACGGAAAACCACAGAAATGCAAATTTTTTTCGACATGGTGATCCAGGCCATCAACCCCCTTCCTCTGGCACCAGAAGGAGAAGCGCAGAAAAAGAAAAGGAAGGAAACAGAGAGAAAAGGAAGTGCAGATGAGAAGAATCGGAGAATTCACAAAAATTTAGACGCCAATCGACCGGTTTCCCCATTCTTTCGGAGCAAGAACCTTATTTTCTGCGGATTCCTGCCTATTCTCCGATCTGAGAGGCTACAACGGTACTGACAGCGAATGAGTCGAATGATAAATAGGTTGCGGTGTCAGTTATTCCTTGAGACGTACTGAAGAATTGACGATTCGAAGAAGCCACGAGGAAGAATATATAGTCTACTTCCGTACTAACGAAGGGGCGTGTCAGGCAGGATGAATTTGGCGCAGTGCCAAAACCGTCCTCCACCACTTCTTGAAACAAGCAAGTGACAAAAACAGTACCATATCGTTCGCGTATGGAACAATTGTTTTATTTTTTACCAAATGTTGTAGCATACCCGCTTGAACACTTGGCAGGGAGCCGATTTATCGCCGTGGCCTACTCATACTGTCTGATACGCCCCTTGATCCGCAGCGAACTAGAAGGTATACGACTTTTCCTGCAACCCGTCAATTTTCCTAATTCCGCGGTTCTTCCATTCTCCAACCCGTCAACACCACTTTCGCGTGCTATAAACGTGACCTAATGAATATATGGGACTCGGTTTGAATACATGACCTATTGTTGGATGCAGGTGTGAATAAAATGAACCACAGATTGTAATCAACCGATGAAGTTTGTTTTATTCCCAACAGAGGAACTGTGCAGGGCAACAAATATCAACCTAATAGGCAGGTTTTGAAGACGGTTTCATTTCATTATAGGCGGAAGCATGCTACCAAAATGCACCGAATCTCTTCTTGGGAAAGTTGTCTCGCAAGACTGCGTTCATAGTTTTCGTTGACGTTTTGGCGTTCTGTGCGAAAAGTTTAGGTATCGATCTAGCGTTCTGGGAAAGTGTTTAGAGCGTTCCGAGCTCTTCAGGTGGAAAGAAAAGTGTATGTATCGCTATTTCCAAAACGTTCCAAACACTGAAGACGCCGACGTAAAGTATGAATACTGCCTAAGAGCGCGTTCAGACTTCGCGATCACGTGATCGGATCGTGCGATCGCGAGTGTAGGCGCTCCACCACCAATCGCCGAACTGCCGTAAAGAATCTAGAAGAACATGACTGCAAGAGAAATATAGGAAAACACAACTGTTTAAGAAGTAACACACGTTCCAGAAGTTCCAAAAAACGCAAGGCACGCGTGCACAGAAAGATTAAGAAAAACGGAGCAGCATGAACGCTATTCCGTTGTTACGGCGGTTCACCGATTGGCAGTAGAGCGCCCCCAGTCGCGATCGCGAAGTCTAAACGCGCTCTCGAGGAAAGGCAGCCAACTTACCATGGAACTTTGAATGGAGACCTCGATGGATCGATAGAGTCTATAAAGTTCTTTACAAATATAGATAGCAAAACTGCAACCTACATTCCACAAACAACTTATGAGCAGGCTAAGTTTGTAATGGTGCAAGTAGTGTGGAGGGCTTGTGGTGAGCTGTGAAGATAGTCGAGGAATCGCATACGACGAATCGGGTCGTCGTGGTTCAGTGGTAGATTCGACGTTCGACGACTCGATCTGACGTATGCGATTCCTCGCCTATGCTTCACGGCTCACCACCAAGCCTCCAGCCTACTGCACCTATTACAAACTTTACTTGCTCATAAAGTGCTTGTGAAATGCAGGTTGCAGTTTTGCTATCTATATTTGTAAATAACCTTATAGACTCTATCGATCTACCCAGGTCTCCATTCAAAGTTCCATGGTAAGTTGGCGGCCTTCCCCGGTAGGTACAAGAGCATACAAGAGATACGTGAAGGCATGACAGGCGTTGACAGGCGTCCAAGTAATTCTTTTTACGCGGTCTCATATGTATAACGTAAAAAAAATCGCGTTATTCGAAGAGGAAGTGAATGACGCGTTTTCATGGTGAGACAACACATTGTTATAGGACCAAATTATAGTTAGATGTGATAGTTCTTCATATCATAATCTTAACTTCTAATGTCTTGAGTAATGTGCGTTATTATTAACAGTACACAAATAAACTGAAGAGGGGGAGTTCTCATGCCTACTGCGGTACAACAGAGACAGATCGCATTTAAATTGTGGAATTGACTTGGGCGTCAAATAATTTGTTTTGTGCACACCATACATGCAATCCTACGCGCAAACGTTTAAATCTGTCTAATCACACCTCGTACGTGAGGGGAAAGACTGTGATGTCGTCCTTCCGTTCCGCAAACGTGCAAATCTGTCCGATTACGTGAGGGGAAATGCAATGCCGTAAGGTAATGGTTGGTCCTTTTGTTTCAGGCAGTATGGGGATCCCTTATCTTTTTTCAATGCCTTTTCGGTACGGTGCAGTGGCTCTTGTTGGCAATTTTATCTGACAAGCCACTAACCATAAGTGTAGGACAGGAATTTTTCGAAAAACTACAGTACTTGGCTTGCGCGGGACCTGCTGCCGTACTCCCGGCACACTAAGGCATTTCGAACTGGCCTGATTTCGAGTGCGCATTCTTCCGGATTCGGAGAAGTTGACAAACGTTTATTAGATTATAAAAATGAAGATTATTAACACATTGCGGACCTAGTGCCCATCTCCGAATCAATTCATAATTTTTCGTCAGTAACTCATCGGAAATTTCCTACCTCTTTTCAATCGTTGTAAGGTAGGTATCTTCCGTAACCGAGAACGTGCTTGGGCAACATTAGCACATGAAAGAAAAGCAAACTAATCAAGTAAAACACCGCACAGAGACGAATTCATGAAACATCCTGTGTATCACGCGGTCCGGAACGTGTTAACTTGGACAAAATGTTTTGCGTTTTTTTAGATTCTACTGCTGTATATACGCGCGGTCCAATTTGCTACGAGACCAGCTAAGGGAGCGCTTTCAGCATTTCGAGCATTTCATCAGAAGTTTGAGCTTATTCACGATATGCAGGAGGAAATACTGAATGCTTCCGAAACCGCAGACAATTCTTCAACATGATGATTTTTGATTGCTCCAAAGGTAAAGATACAAATATAAGGCTAGGTCCGTTTGCACTCAGTTTGCTATGGTGTCGAGCAGTTTCTATCTTGTTGCTTCGTATGGAAATCTAGATTAACTCCTGAAAAAAGGAAATGTACACGGATACACCACCGTTCATACCACGAGGAATCAGAGCAGGGACCGTAAAATATATTTGAAAGCATTTAGTGCTAGCACCTTGTGAGCTGCTTAATAAAATATAAGTACTTTTGAAATACCCGTTTTTATAGTACTTTTGATCAAGTTAATCTTGAACCATTCCAAAAGTTTTTCCTGTAGCATGTAAAAATGATATGCTGACTGATCAGACACCGTGACACTGAATCCATAAAAAAGGTAGAGAGACTGTTTTGATCCATAGCATGATCCTCTATTCGACAAATGTCTACCTTCCGTTCTCTCTGAATTGAAAAGAAAGCGCCTGTAAATTTAGGCCAGCATGGAGTGCCGGCAATGTGCCGCAAGAGTACGGCAGATTTAAACGTTTGCGCGTAGGATTGCATGTATGGTGTGCAAAACAAATTATTTGACGCCCAAGTCAATTCCACAATTAATGAGATCGAAGACGGTATTCAAGAAGAAATGCAAAATGTAAAACCTACATAAAGATGACTAGCAAACACACAAACATTAATTACTAGGTGAGCAACTGGCCTCACAGCAAAGAAGCAATTTATTTGCTAAAACGACTCAAATATCTTTCTTTATAGAAAGGCTAATTAGAATGATAAAGCACTTGGAGAGTTTAGAACTTGATCTATTTGAAAAATCCGCAAACTCAGCAAAACCTTTCTTTCCAACCCACTACATGCAAGACTTCAAATTCTCGTCTAAATTTAGGCGCAAACTTAGGACTGAAAAACCGTTCGAAAATTTTACAATGGTCAATAATCAAAATTATTTTTTCAAATGAACCACCGCCTAGAGACCTAGGCAAATGTGACACCTATTTTCGGCGCAACTATTCTAAACGAATGTCCTGTTCGTGGCTTCGAATAGCCATAAACGAACATTTACAAAGAATTTCGCGTAAAAAACGCAGCTCGCTTAAATGTGGAACCGGGATTAGATTCGCGCCAAATCATCCGCGCCAAATGAATGCTTTTCATGAGGACAACTAGTTACACCTGTTGCTGGCGCCTATTTCGCTTCAAGACCATGGACACATCTATGTTTGGGGCGCGGAATAACTCGTAGACTAATTTTCAGAACAGCGGAATTCAATAAAAGTATGGAGCTAATCGAACACACATGAGAAGAGCGGTGGCATAATGCGTCGATTACCCAGATAGAAATTTGCAACACTCTTGAAGAAGGAAGTGATTGCGAGCCAGCGTAGGCGTAAGCGAGAG